CAGAACTGTCGGTTCAAAAGCTCAACTTCTTAGAGCTTTCTGCCTCCTTCGGACTCCTTCGTTCTTGATCTTCTGAATTGATTAAGGACGCGCTGTCGCTTCTTTTTATTTGCACTTACGCAATGGAAAACAGCAACAGAATCTATGTACTGCAGCTGAGAGCAACCGGCATCCACTCTGAGCTGCTTCTGGGTGGATGGTTCCAAAAATAAGCTAAGCTTAGATTCGCCGTGCCTTCATAAATCTTTCTGTTTCATCGAAAAAGCAAACCAATGTAGGTACTTTAGGCCCTAGCTTTAGGTCATATTCCTCTTGTATATAGATAGATAGATAGATAGATAGATAGATTCTTACTTGTAGCAAAGGGTTGTCCAGGTCAAAGATCTGAACCCTACTATGTATGGGTATGACAAGATATCATGAGATCGTGTTTTACCTATTCAGGCAACGGCCAGGACCGGCCCTGATCCAATCTGCAAAGAAACGGTCCCACAAGCTCTGAGCAAGCTCAGCATCTCCTTGCACTGTTCATGAGGGTAAACGAACCTCGACTTCATGACGGGGCTTTCGAAAGTCGTGCCAATGTTGCATAACATAGAAACGCTGGAAGACCGAGTCATCCTTCCACCAAAAGCTTGAAGGAACTTCAGTGGACTCTTCCACCCCATCCATCGGCTCTTCAAATGACACCGTCTTTCTGGGGATCGGCATCGCATCACAAGCTCGACAAGAAGGGCGAAGGATGATCCGCCCCGCCGCTTTGCTTTGAGCCAAACCGCCTGCAGGCATCAGCCGCAGTGTTCAACAGTTCAACAGACACGTGCAACCACGTGGCAAACGAGCGCTCATCGGCAAGCTGAAGTAAGCCGGAAGAATGAAAGCCTTGCCTTCACTGGGGTCATTTCAGTGCTCCCGGAGGCTGTGGCATGATATATGCCCACAATCTCCATCGTAGCATCGGTCTGGCACTGCGCAGTGGGGAGTGTGAATTTGCCCAACACATCCATTGGATTGGATACTGATAAACAGCATGTTACCTGGCTCTGGCTCTTCACAGTATGCTCAGCATAATGATCTTGCAAACAAAAAACAAAAGCATCAAAAAACAAGTCAAGCCGACATCCCCAACCAGCATCAACTGGCTGTTGGATTGGCTGGCTACCCAACGGGTTGTAGGTCCAACGTGCTCTTCGATTTCACATCCCGCTGAGTCAGGGACGGACTTGCAGTGCTCCTCTGCTAGCATGCAAGCCTTCACAGGAACACACGTGAAAGCATGAACCCTGATCGACCTCAGGCTGGGATTGGAACATCAAAGTTGAAGGACCCTTTCACCGTCTCGGAAAAAAGGATCCTTCATGCCTATGCACTGTTGCAAGGCAAAATTTTTGGATAAATAAAGATTGGAAAATGTGTCCACAACCACGACACAAGCACCCCATAACTGAGGTGAGGGCTACTTTGAGCATTGGTCCCTGGCATTCAGCACTTGCAAACGGTCCTTTGGCTCAACTGCCAATTCGACTTTGTTCTCAGTTAGGTCAGTTTGGTGTGCTTCTTTGACAAGCTTGGGAGTTCTTTGGCTACCAAAGGTGTCCAAACCACTGCTTGCATCCCCAAAAAGCAAGGCTTCCAGATGCACTATCACAAGGTACAGAAGCAATTATTGCATCTGCATGGGCTCCGCCAGCTAAACGTCTATATAACAAGGAATGGCCGAAGAATGGCTCCTGGAAGAAGACTGATATGATATGTGGCTGCAAGCCTGTAATCTCTATTGTGTCAAATCAACCCCCACAGGCGCGGAACACGTTGAGTTGGGGGCGGCCTGGGGGGCCCTCACACACAAGGAGGAGTGGCATCAGGCGGGCAATTCTCGCCCTTTAGAGTTCCAAAGGTTTATATAGATAAGGACAAGCGGAATCTGGCGGAAGTAGATAAGGAAAAACAGAAAATACCTCCGTGTGACAAGTGTGGTGGCATCTTTAGCAGCATGTTCATTCAACACTGGCACAACACCTAGGAAACCCACCAGTGTTGCTCAAAGTGCGAGTGAGGAAGTAGGCGCGGGGACGCTGGATTCCGTTCAAAAAAGCCGGTCGCACCAATGCATGAGTATGAAAGAGCGGAATGGCTTCCAGCACCTTGATGCGCACTTGGGAAATACGGAATACATCAGCCACTCTGAAGGTGAAACCTGCTTGAAGGTATGCTGACAGGGACCGAGATGTCTGGCCAGCTAGTAAACATTTCACCAGGCATCAAACAAATATGTGGGACCAACGAACACATACTGTACATCCCGTAGAAACGCAAAAGGCTTAAAACCTGTCAGAGCTAGGTCACAGTGGACATCGTGTTGCTCCATGTGAAAACAACAAGGCTTTGGTCGCAGTGGGCCGTCCTTCAGTTCAAAGTCAAACAGTCTGCGGTCAAGGTTGTATGAGCAACAAAGCATCGTATAAGTTGTCCATTGCACAGAATGTCAAGCCGTTGCTGTGCAGGACACCTTCATGACTCTTCCATCAGCGTGGCCCAAGAAAAGGCCAAGCACCTCCGCCGTACAAGATTGCAAATCTACACAAATATGATGACTCCGAATGCTCTCAACGTGATAGTGCCTATAAGCGATCAAATACTCGATCAAAAGGATCAGATCAGCATCGTTGCTCGTCTCGGGCACGGACGGAACTAGATGAGTGCTTGCAAAGGTGGAGCACAGCCTGAGCCGAAGAATGGTACGTACATCAAATGCACTGGAATGAGGGTACATGAACAGAACATGTGAATTACTTGGCCATGAAACAAACCAAAACACAAGACCTGAGACTTCAGAGATCCATATGCCTACTGCGTACCTTCATGGTCATGACGTACCAACACCTGAAAGTAAACTTGAGTCTTGTGGCCTATGGCCTCGTGGTCGTGTGGCGTTGGTCCGTCTATACAATCAAAGCACCGCACATCTAAAGCCTCTGCTTGGAGAGCCAAACTGTGGCAGGTAAGTATGTATAAATGTCTTGCTATGAACCTACTAAGTACATGTAAGTACGACTTAACGTCCATTGCCCTGTAGTACTTCATGATTGGATGGATCCAAAGCTGCAAAGATCAACCCAAATCCCTTCAAGACTCTTGTACCACAAGTTCTATATAATATATATAATATATATCTGTGTATAATTATGTACACATAGAATCATAGAATTAGAATGCGCATCACCTTCACACAAAACTACGGCAGGTGTTCTTGATGAAAAAGAATACTGATTGTTTCTTGTAAATGCAGCTTATGTTCTGCCTGCAAAGGCCCGCTGTTGGATAGGCCGGATTGTGAACTGGTGATACCACAGCTTCAAAAGAGTTTTAAGAGACCAGCCACTTTGTGTTTCTGTGCACGACAAGAGCCTCCCAGCAAGATAGAAATGGTTTTCGGTGACAACTCTCAAGGCTCTGACCTTGGCATAGGCCTGGGGGTGAAAGGCATATCCTACAAGGGTCGAGTAGAATCAAGCACCCTGGAGACAAACGGCAAGCCCCTCTGACCAAAGTTAGTTGCCTGAAGTCGGTGGGACATCGACTTTCATTCAAATAGATCTCAACAACTGTAAACTTCAATAGGTCAGCTCCTTCTTAAGTTTCCCTAAAAATCTAGAAATCAAATCATTAGTGCGAGCGCTTCTTCAAGGAAGCTCCTCCCAGGCGGCGGGGGAGCCAGGGGGAGCTTCCTTGAAGAAGCGTGAGCTATCCTGCCTCCATATGTAGTAGTTTCACGTAGTTTTCTTTTGCTCGTAGCGTGTTTGCTCCCTTAATTAAGCAGGCACATACTTAAGTAGGAGTGGCCTTGCAAAAATACAAAAGGCCAAGGAATTGTGTCCTCCCGGAGGTGCCATGATGCACCTTGCAGGTGCGGTCAGCTGGTCCCACTGGTCAGTCTTTCTCTTATGCCGTTGGCACCCTGTCATCCCTACATCCGTTGGCATCCGTGTACATCCAAGGGGTCTGTCTATGAATATCTCTTCGGCTTCAGTGCATTTCTCAAGGAGAAATCATAGATCCTTCTCACGGCCATGGATTTCAGAGGCTATGACATGCTTCACACTCATCCTACCGAGCACTGAAGCACTGGATCAGTGCGCGAACCAGGGGTCAAACTGTCAAACACTGTTCAATGGTGTCCAACGGACACCATTGAGAAAGTCACACAATAAGATTCTAGCGAAGGTTGCTTAACACCATTTTGGCGTTGTATCCAGAGATGTGTACATTCAAATTCTGTCTCATCCATTCAAAAGAACAATTGTAGCTCCTTCTACAATCCTCAAGAAAAGAAACTCATGGCTTGATCTCTAGAATCTAGAATGAGTGTTCATTGGGTTGGTGTGGTTTCCTCCAAAGGTGGGAATGTCAGGGCACCTCCTGTTTAGAAGTAAGATGAAGTAAGGTACCAATGGTACAAAACCTGAGACGAGCAAGACCTTTGCTCAGGCTCCCCCAACTCGACACAACGACTGCACGTCTAGTTCCAAAGCAGCACAAGGAAGTAGAGTTCAGTTCGGAACACGTTCCTGACAGCCTAGCAGACCTTGCAGAGTATAGCTGCAGGTCAAGACAGCCCTGTACAAAAAGGGTATTGTCAAAGTTTGTATCCCCAGGTGTTGATGGTCAAGCACAATGTGTAGCTTCTTCACCCAATTGAATTTGAACTCAGCTTGTACAAAGACTGCAGCCAAGGGCACCACGGCTCGTCCGTATCTGCAAATTGAACCAAAACGGCCAAGCCAGGTGCACAAGTTTGAGACATGCCGACGAATCGCAACCATCGTCGATTCGTTATGCTGACAAATGATGCGGGCAGAAGTTCTGCAGAAATGTGTGTCATACGACTTGAAAGCAATGTATTCATACACTTCCCTGACGAGTGCAATGAAGGCAAGATTTGTTTCGCTGGTCGTCGAGCGGGGTTCGCTCCAGACATCCAGGACCTTAGCAAGTTTGGCAGCGAGACTCCGACACTGCCCAGCTTTGGCCGCAAAAGCTCCTAGTAGCGTCCTTGTTCCTAGTAGCGATGCCCTTTACTCCTAGTAGCGTCCTCTACATATTAGGCATCACATGTCTTGAAAGTAAAAGCTCAAACGCCGCGATTGACAGTTATAAAGACATGCCTTCTGCCCCTAATGAGCTCTAAGGCTCACAGCATTGTCGAAGGACTTGGTGAATGAAGCTGTCACAAGTCTGGCAGAACACAAATTGTGTGAACTTGCCGGCCTCTATTGTTTAGAATCCAATTCCAATACTGGTTGCATGTTGATGGATGTTGGGCGTGTCCACTCCTCGGAAAAAGATAGGTGTTGGTCAAAACAAGTCACTCTGTGGTGAGTTCACTCATATCAAACTACTATTGAACAAAATTTGTCGAAGGATCAGCAGATCAATGTCGAACACACTTGGAACAAGCATGTTTGAACCCCCCCTTCCAGTTGGCCTATGCATCTCAAATCACCCCACGACCCGCCTGGCAAAAGACCTGCTGACAAGTTCCGCACCGAGCACCTCGAGGGGAGCAGAGTCCGGCGGCCGGCTATGTCTCCCCCCGGCACATGATTTGTGTTATGCAGGGAACCGACTGTCTCTGCAGCTCTGCCTAGTGAATCCATGAATCGGTGGCAAGCTTTGCAGCGCGAAGCAAGGCCTTGGTGCTTCCGCCAAAACTGGCCGCTACAGCTCAGTGTGTAGAAATAAAGAAACTGATTACCTTTGACTTCAAAACGACATATCCTACTAGTCCTACTGACATCAACGAAACCAAATACGACGTCACGAGTCATATAAGAAAGGACACTGCTGCTACTATCTGAATGAATGCACACTGAATCTGCACGCTTTCTGCACCGGATGTTCAAGACAGCGCACTGAGACACTGAAAATCTTGCCAGACAGAGCGGCTCGTTCAGGAAACTGGATGCTGTAACCAAACTCTAGAGTCTCCAAAAACAGCTCACAAAGACTCTGAGCGCCAACACCCATCGCCACCGATGCAAATGGTGCTAGTGGCACCACGCTCCTGGGGTCAACTCAACAAAGCACGGGCAATCTTTTTCAATCCAAAGCTTTGCAAAGGAGCTTGCAGGCGTTTTGCTTGCTGATCCATGACATGGTTTCCAGGTGCTAGGCTACTACCTGCATGTGGTCGAAGTATGTTGAATTTGTTGATGACATGACATCGACCAAATGGTCCATGCTCCTAAATGCTCTTGCCAGGACGGAGGCTGAGACCAAGGGCAAGTCACAGATCTTGCATCGGCTGGGCCTCAAATAGATGTCTTCTACAGGAGGACTGAACAAAAAGAACTGAAGAAAAAAAACAAAAAAACATTTTGCAAAAGTGTGAGGAAGGCAAATCCTCTTTGTCAAAAACTCTCAGTGTTGAATGCCACTAGCTCTAGGGCACCAGCAAGCCGCAGCTGCGACCGTTGCACTGAGGACCTTGGAAGATGTTTGAAAAACTTCCTTTCTACAGGAGCAAGGACGCTACTAGGGGCTCCTGGCCTTACTACTAGGAACTAGAAGCTACTAGGGGCTCCTGGCCGTACTACTAGGAGCAAGGACGCTGCTAGTACTAGGGGCTCAGGCTAGGGGATGCAATTTTTGTAAGGCCTTCTGCAATTCCATGATTCCTACAGGACTTGCAGGGTCTGCGTGGCTGATAAGGGAACAACCTGCCTGAGGATGCTACAAATATATAAAGAATTCTGCACTTGACAATGGCAGCAACCTGAGCGAAGGACAAATGTCAAAACAAACAAACTGCAATGTATTTTTCAATCTCTGGTGGTAAGCCCACCGACTCCTATTTTGTCAATATGGCTAAACAAGCCGTCAGTGTTGTTGCAACATCGAGGGGTGATAACTGCCAGCTGTTGAATATGAACTTTGCCGTCTGACAAATGATTATCATCTGAGGGATGCCTTGGCATGCTGGTCAACTGCCAAACTTGCAAGTGCCCAGTGCTACCTTGATTGCTTCAATTGGCGACAAGGAACAGCCTCAACGGCCTGAATTGAAATGGCCTCTTAGCCCCGCACATGCCTCTGGCTTTCTAGCCTGCAAGGACAATGAGAGAAACATATTCTTTGTCATCTTTTTTCTCTCTCTCCCTGTCTCTACTTATTATATAGTCTTGTCTCCGTCCTTTTCCTTCCTTCCCTTTCCTTCCTTCCTTTGTTTCTTTTTTCCTTTTCTTTCCTTTCCTGCCTCTTCCTTCCTTTTCCTTTGTGTTCCTTCCTGTTCCTTCCGGTTCCTTCTTTCCTTTTCCTTTCCTTTTCTCTCCTTCCTTCTCCTTTCCCGTTTTTCTCCCTCTTTCTCCTTCCTTCTCCCTCCTTCTCATTTCTTTCTCTCGTGTTTCTTTCCATTCTTTCTTTTCCTTCTCTCTCTCTCTCTCTTGAAATGGTTATATGAATATATACATATGTTTTATATTATAAATATATACTAGTATATATAATGTATATACCTATATAGACTTTCGTCCTGTTTCTCCTGACTGACTGCACACGACTTCACATGACAAGTGAAATTGCAAAAAATCCACTGGACGGGTGCCCTTTAGCGAACTGTCCGCGGTTGTAGCACCTCTGCTTCCAACTGTCTTGGGAAGCCCATGCCTTGCAAATCAACATTGGTTTCCACAGCTGGTCACAAGTTCCTTTTACGCTTTAGGAGTCTTAGGGACAAGGCGGACCATTTGTGGGGCCACGTCTTTGCCATCGATCTTGGGTGCCACCAGGTGTCTCAAGAGCAGCTCCTAAACAAATTAGCCCCTCAGCGTCATCCCACGATTCTAACATCTACCATGTATGGTGTCTTGTGGTAGATTCTATGATCTGCAAATGGCAAAGGGCTTTTTGTTGAAGCAACTCTATCCTGAATCAAATACCAATCTGGAATTACTCTCTAAAAGAAAAAAATGCTGCAAAAGTACCCAAAAAAGAAAACGAACTTCGTCCGTCCTCAAAATGAGCCTTGTTGAGCGCCACATCAAAGCGACCACCAGTCTCAACCTCTTCAGATTGCGAGTTCCAAAGCACAAAACATCAGCATGGACACTTAAGACACCAGTCTCGCAATGCTACAAGGTGTCTGGATTTCCTTGTCATCCTTCCATCCAGTTGCACATGCTTTGTTGCTCCTCGGTTCGGTGGAAGATTGAAACCTTTTCCAAGTGCAGTCAAGGCACAAGGCAGTTTTGTGTGGCTGGAAAAACAGGTTGAATAGCGGTAGCAATATTCTGCACCGTAGCTTTGTTTTTACTTGGTGCATGCGGTTTTGGCACATTGGCCAATCACTCCAACAATGCATCCCAGCTTTGACTGTGGATCTCTGCATACTGTCGATCGTGTTGCGCTTTAAGCGCACGTACGACAGCGGTGAGAGCAACAATGGCTGAAAGCACAAGCAGTGCGACCAACAAGGCTTTATGTGATGTGTATGTTTCAAGCATGATGCGACTGTCTTTCACCATAAGAACGTCATTGATCTTGACCGATGTTGGAAGGCGATGCGAAGAAAAGAAATTGTAGATCATACGATTGGCATCCACACTGCTTTTTGCACCAAGACCTGGAGATGAGGGCAGCTATGCCAAAGCGCGGCCAATGGACATCCATGAAATCCGAAATGTTCAAACAGGTCTATGCTTTCCAAGTCCATGGATTGGTCATGCCGCAGGTCTTTAAAGAATAAAATAAAGGATGGAAATGCATCGTTTTGACTGAGCACTACGATAGATACACCGACACCTTATCGAGGTCAATTCTTTAGGTCAAGGACTCAAGGATGAATTCGGAAACCATGAATTTCTGAACTTCATCATATTTCAGAACCTCATTCGGCGGAAACGAAGCAAGACACCGTAATTCTTCGGAAATTGTTACCTATTTGACTCTATATTACTACTATTAGATATACAGTGCACCGATGCCTGACCTGGAACACTGGAACCTGAAAGGGCCACATAGGAATAGCTGTTTGGGTGGACAGATTCTCCCAGGTTCGATGTCTTTTTGGCTTTCCCGAACCTCACTGCCCCACCCACCCACTCACCGTTGGTTTGGGCTTCTTAATCGCAGCTTTCTGCTTCTAGTTCGCGCCGTTGGTTTCTGAATCGGGATTTGTTGTTTGCAGTCCCTGCACATTGTTCCCTGCCTGGCAAGGGCCACATGGCTCCAGGCCATTGATGCCCTGCACCATGGAGCAGTAGAAGTTCCACAGTGGCATTTCCATTGCAGTCCGAGTAGGAGGCCACAGCATAGGATCCAGCTTCAATGAACTGGGGCGCAGCAGGCGCAGCACCGGATGCCAGGCGACATCCATTGAAACGAGCCCAGTCTTGCATGGCATCTGGCACTGAGGATTGCCAATAGCCCTCTCCATGACCATTCCAAGGGTTCACCTGGTCCAAATCTCCATGAAAAGCCAGGATCGGAATTGGCCGGATTGCTTGGTTGGGCGTGGGAAAGCGTAGCCCAGACACAGGCGCAACTGATGCAATCACCTGAGACAGTTCGGAAGCCAAACGCATGCAGAAGCGAGCACCGTTGGAGTAGCCAGTGCAATGCACTCGCCTCTTGTCGATGCAAGGGAGCTTCAAGATCTCGTGTAACGATTCTTTCACAAACTGCAAATCATGCACATCATCATCTGGCATCGCCTGGCCGTGTATGCCTACGTTGAACTGATACTGCTTTGAACCCAATGCCATGTTTGGTAGAGCCTGCAGCGCCAACAAACCAAAGTTGTTCTCTTTGGCAAAGGTGTTGAGGCCCGAGTACCGCAAAAAGTCTTGTACCTTGTTGTTGGTGCCATGTAGAACAAGCCACAGTGGGATGTTCTCCCCTCCCCTTGGTAGATACAGAAACATGCGTCGAGACTGTGTTCCAACTTGAAATTGCACCTCATTTTCAAATCCTGGACACGTCCAGTCTCCAACTCGATTCGCAGTCTCCAGTCCTTTGATTCGCAGTCTGGGCAGTCCTCTGAATCCCGAAGTCGTAAGAATTGATGTCGTAGTCACGGATGTCGCGGTGACCGTCGTCACAGTTGTGGACGTCACTGTGCTCACTGTGGTCGAAGTGATGGTCACAGAGGTGCGAGTGACTTGGGTGGTGGTTTTGGTGGGAAGTATTGGAGGCAGTGTGAGAACTTTCGGCTCAATAAATTGCTCCTGCCGAACACAGAATTCGTGATAATCCGAGCAACAACCTCCAAATTTAAGACACCAAGAAGTGCACTGGCACGAGGCACCAGGCTCAATCAGCCGGCAGCGGTCTCTACAAGAGCTCTCCCCCGCAGAATCGCTCACATGCAAAAGTGCAAGCAGCAATATGATACATCGCTGCAGCTGCATACTGCATGGATTCATCAACCCGGACTGGTACCATCCAAAGGGCAAGATCTTTTCTAGATAGTTGGAGTTTTCATGTGGGGTTCTTGTCTGTGTGTGGATTGCATGATGGATCCATACAAGAACTGTTCAGAGTTGAAGTAGACTCATATTGCGACCTGAATCCTTTTGCCCTGACTTGATGGCGAATACAAGCAACAATCATGAAACATGGAAATGTGAAATGTCAAAATGATCCATGGACCATGAATAGAAGAAGAAGCATCACAAGCTCAGGCAGTGACACAAAGATTCTTCAGGACGAAGATCTCGGGACTCAAAGAAACCACCGACACCTGTCCGAGAATTTCATGCCTGATCATACACCAACAGGTGAAGACTGAAGAGCTTTGCATAAAAAAACAGGACTGCATCACACGCTCTACCACTCACCATGTTCTACGATATAAAACCATACAGTAAGAACCACGTGTTTTCTGTCTAAAAGTGCATCCATCTGTACAAATTGGTGAACCCAGGTGAACTCACACGCATATAGTTGACAAGACCGATGCTGCACCAAAACTCATAAAGAAAATACAACTTACAACCCAACAGCGGCTTGAACTGAGCAAAACGGTCATGGCTTTGGGGCGGCTTTTCAGAGCCAGCTTGGAGGCTAGATGTCGTAACAAATGGGACTGCCCGCAGATTTCGAACAGCAAACTGTCAGAAGCCAACAGCCCGCCCGGATGTTCTTCAATCGCAGAGTTGGCAGAAGGTCCTCGTTGCCAGTTCCGGAATCGATTTTTTGGACATAACAGCTCAAATGCGTCGATGGCATGATTGGTAAGATACTGTCAATCCCCAGTTTTCAAGCGTTGTCCGTCCTCCATGGCAAGCTCTTGCAGGTTGCAAGTAGCCACGGAGGCTAGCAGGATCTGAGGCAAAATAGGACAAAACATAGAATAAAATGTTGAGTAACAAGGAACCTTAGATTAGAGATCTTAGAGCTACTAGTCACGAACTGTCAAGGTGCCTGTGTTTCACATAATAAATACATCGGTAAGTGTTCAAATCCATCGTACTTATGCGCAAATATCGCAAATTCAAGGGTCATGATCGGACTGACTGTGACTGGACCTTCTTGGAACACCATTTCCAAAAAAAGAAACAGCCTGGTTCGTAGTATGAGAATGTCAGCATCTAACATAGCAAGAGTGTGTGTGTGTCCACCTCTGTAACTAAGAGTTTCTGTTTTTCTCAACTTTTAAGTCGCAGGGGGCGTGACGGTCGATTTCCTAGTCACGCCAACGAAGCTGGGGAAATCGACTGGATGGAAGTTTGGACGCAAACTTCTGTACCTGCGCGGATGAAAACTTTTGCACCCGCTGTGACTCCACTTTTCCTTTTGTTGCTTCCATGGTGGTTGTTTGCATGATATCCCCCAAAACAGGTTTCCTTAGCTTTGGTAAAGTGCTAGTGCGTTTGTTAAGCAGTTCTGTTCTTCGGA